ACCGGCTTCATCACCAACAGTTAGCATAAAAAGAGAAAAGCTGGCAGGATCGCTTTTCTAAATGAGCTAAAATAATATGGAAGGAGAAGAACACATCCTGGGTTCCAGTTCATAATCAACTGGAACAACACGGTGCCTGAGCCACGCCAGACACACCCGATTTGTACCCGAACCACACCAGGCACACCATCATTTCCAACAGGCAACGCCGATCCAGTGAATGGGGTAACCGCTTGCCACGGCGCCAGTGAAAACCTGAATGAAAATATTCAAGCTCATCTTGATGCCTGATGTACTGAAAACAACAACTGACTTTCACCCAATTCTCGATGATCACAGGCAAAAGTGATTCTTGAAAAATCCACTAGACTACTGAAACAGTGAAATACACAAGCCACGCCAGACACAACCCTGGGTGAAGTTTAGCCATGTTGATAAACAGAGCATAAACTGGGCCGGAGTGAGGTTGGTCGGGGGTGGCCTGTCTTGGACGGGGTGTCGCTAGTGCGCATGTGTGTACGTGCACGTGTGTGTCACGGGCCGGCACAGACATAGGCGGACGCTGCACACTCGAGGGGCAATGCTTTCTTGCTGTCCTACCCAAACTCCGGACAGCTAGCTGCGTAGACCTTGTTACTGTCCTCAGCTGTTTCCCCATATCCTCACCAGTTGATGGGCAGCTCCTGGGTCACGGGGTGTGTTGTACTCCCTGGAACTTGTAAGTTACAGCAAGAGTACATAACCCCCAAGAGTGTGCAACTCCAGCTATGGGGTCTGCGACGGCAGAACTTCACATCACGTGATGAACCCGTACACATTATTTGCACTCTATGCATGATAAATACAGGGTTGTACGCAGCCCAGCTTTGGGTACAACTCCCTTGTGGTCACTTTGCACTGTTTGCCAGCATAACCTTTTGAACCATGTCACGTGATGTGAAGTTCTGCCGTCGCAGCACAGCATAGAGGTTGTGCAGGCAGTTGCACACACTTGGGGGTTACCGTAAAGTACCGTTGATCCGCCCCCTCTCTAATTCCCGCCCCCCGTCGATGTTCTACCTGTGAAGCGACTTCGGCGTATACAACGAAAATATGATGTTGAACCGACGCATGCACTCCTGTACACAATACTTGCCAGTCCAGGATGAAAATGTGCACAATCCAGCACATCGAGTCTGAACGTCTACGTTGCTGTACATCGTACTGCACTTGACAGCCTTGATCTAATTCCCGCCCCTTGCCGAAAACCCAGCTGGGAAGCGACGTGGCGTGGGGGCGGATCAACGCTACTTTACGGCATGTACTCTTGAGTACAGGTAGTACAACGCACCACCTGAAATTAATTACTCCTTGTCACTCATTTCTGCTGATTGCACTATGTTGATCAGCTGCCTCCTTAGCGCAGTAGGCAGCGCGTCAGTCTCATAATCTGAAGGTCGTGAGTTCGATCCTCACAGGGGGCACTTATTTTTTTCTCCATTTTTCGCTTTTCAAATTTTGGCCCGTGAGAAGTTCTGGGCGATCTCGAAATGAAACCATTGACCGCTTGGTGTCTGCCATGGCTCAATCTTGCATTGCTTGCCTCTATGACAAGCTTTGGCCAGCTACTGTAAATCAACTGATTTTCGCTGGCGATTTAATTTCGCCGACCCCGCCGCCTGGCGCCAACCGGCTAAAGCAAATTACAGGCCAAAGCTCGTCACAAAGGCAAACCACGCACGATTGAACCCCGATCGGCCAAAGTTTGATCGCGGCCAAAAGTTTCATTTCGAGATCGGCCAAAGTTTCTCACCCGCCAAAATGTGTTGAATTAACAGTCTTTACTTTGGCTGGTTGGTACCGTAGGGGTGAAATCAACGAAATGTTATCGTCAGTGAAAATTAGCTGGCTGGTTGGTACCATAGGGGTGAAATCAACGAAATGTTATCGTCAGTGAAAATTAGCTGGCTGGTTGGTACCGTAGGGGTGAAATCAACGAAATGTTATCGTCAGTGAAAATTTGCTGGCTGGTTGGTACCATAGGGGTGAAATCAACGAAATGTTATCGTCAGTGAAAATTAGCTGGCTGGTTGGTACCATAGGGGTGAAATCAACGAAATGTTATCGTCAGTGAAAATTAGCTGGCTGGTTGGTACCATAGGGGTGAAATCAACGAAATGTTATCGTCAGTGAAAATTAGCTGGCTGGTTGGTACCATAGGGGTGAAATCAACGAAATGTTATCGTCAGTGAAAATTAGCTGGCTGGTTGGTACCATAGGGGTGAAATCAACGAAATGTTATCGTCAGTGAAAATTAGCTGGCTGGTTGGTACCATAGGGGTGAAATCAACGAAATGTTATCGTCAGTGAAAATTAGCTGGCTGGTTGGTACCATAGGGGTGAAATCAACGAAATGTTATCGTCAGTGAAAATTAGCTGGCTGGTTGGTACCATAGGGGTGAAATCAACGAAATGTTATCGTCAGTGAAAATTAGCTGGCTGGTTGGTACCATAGGGGTGA